TAGAAGGCAGAGTTTATTCGAGGTTACAGATACAGAGGAAGGGTCCATTATGGTGGGAGAGGCACAGCAGCAGGAAGCCAGAGCAGAGAGCCAAACAGAAGTGGAGAGAGGTCATAGACTCTCAAAGTCTGTGCCCAGTGACGTACTTCCTGCAAGAAAGCTCCACCCCCTAAAGGTTCCACAACCTTCCCAAACCTGACCACCAGCTAGGGACCAAGTGTTCTAGGGGACATTTTATGTCCAAATTGCCACATTCACTGTGACCAAAACCCATCTCCAGTGCCTGTAACCTTAAAGTATCCAAGGAAGGGAAGTGATGAAGAAAATGGAATCCTAAACTGGAGTTGCAGGAGTCTCCATGCAGAGCCTGAAAAGTCACAGATTGTGGGGGAGAAGCTCAAGCAACTTTAAGAGCTTATTGCTTGTTCACTCTTCCCCGAATCTGCACTTCAGGAGGACTCTGGAAGGTGCGCTGGTTTTCTGACTGTAGATGTGTGCCCTTAAGGCCCAGGCAGGGCTTTACAGCCTAGCAGAGGTCAGCCCTGTCCGCTTGAGTCCTCTGACAGAGTTGAAGCGAAAGCTACGAGGAATCTAAGCCATTGTATATGTGAATCTAGACTGCCTAGAAAGTTCTTAGCATTTCAAAAATTCAGACTTTCCTCGAAATACTGGGTTTATTTCAGACTAGAATAGAGTGTGTCCCAAGTTTTACCAAAAAGTCTATAGAAATTGAGAGTAAATGATCTTGCTGATGGTTTGCTTTTTTTAAGGTTTTCTCTTTGTTTTACATTTATTTATTTACGTAGTGTGTGGGTGCGCGCGCATGCATGTGTGTGTGTGCGCATGCGTGCGTGCGTGTGTGTGTGTGCGTGTGCGTGTGCGTGTGTGTGTGTGTGTGTGTGCATATCCATACATGCATCCAGTGCTGTGTTTGTGGAGGTCCAAGGACATCTATGGGAGTCAGCTCACTCCTTCTATCATGTGGGGTCTGAGCAGGAGCTCAGGTCTTCAGGCTTGGCAGCAGACACCTCTGCCCACTGAGCCAGCTCGCCAGCCCTCTGTCTTCACATTGAAGCACTAAATTCTCATCTAATGTGATTGGCATTAGATCACATGTAACGTAATCTAATGACATCGGAACATCTGAAACCATAAATAATTTCTTCACCATGTAAACGTGGATACTGCCTTTGGCCTGTGACTCAGAGCAAAAGTCCCAGCATTCCAGACACAGCACAGTCAATTTCTACTCTGTCCCCCTTCAGTATCTGGCCAATTTTTAATATAAAAAAGTCCAGTAATTTCATATGCTATAACCAGTGTTTGATTAATGCAGCCCTTTTTAAAGGATTATTCTGAAAATGAACATATTAGTTTCTTTCCATGTGCTCTTCATGCAGATGAACTGTCAGCATCATAAATCGGGGCACTTTTTCCTCTTAAAATTACATAACCTGTTAGATAAATTCAAATATACCTTAGATGCCGAGCCACCAAACTCAGAGAGACACGCAAGCAGTCATAGCGCCCTCTACTGCTGGAAGGCCAAAAGGCCTCAAATGAAAAGCTAGAAAAGCAGAGGGACAGGAAGTGGCTCAAGGAGAGCCTGCATTTGGTGCCTGGGGAGGGTGGGAGGGAGAGAGAGAGAAAGGGAGAGAAGAGGGGAGAGAGGAAAGGGAGGAGAATAGATGAGAAAAAACAAGAAGAAATGCAAGGGGAAGAATCTATCAAAGAAAAACATGGAGGGACAATAAGTAGAATATGTAGGGACAGAGAGTAAGAAAATTAAATACAAATATCAACAAAGGTGGGGGCTGCAGGATGACTTAACAGTTAAAGCCACCTGCAGCCAAGCCTAAGGACTTGAGCTTGAGTTTGAGCCCCAATACCCACAGGGTGAAAGGAGAGCATCGGATCAGCTCCTAAACATTATCCCTGCCCTCCCCTCACACACACACACACACACACACACCACAAAAAATAAATGAATAGATAAATGAAACTTTAAAGAAACTTTTTTAATCAACAAGAGGAAATAGAAATTAGAAGCAAAAGTTAAAAAAAAGAAAGTGAGGATATTTTTTATTGGGCATCTCCATAGAAACCCTGAAAACATTGGCTGCTTTCCAAACCTATAATATTCTCAAATTCATTCACAACCATGACAGTTCATCCAACCATCATCCTTAGAATTTGGACAGTATGATAGAGAAAAATTCTGACCTGAAAAAAAAATGTAGTGTGTGTGTGTGTGTGTGTGTGTGTGTGTGTGTGTGTGTGTGTGTATGTGCATGGGCGCGCGCACGCTATACAGTACAATTACATTCTTGCATAGTCTTCATTCATTTTATTCAGGTTCTCAAAGGAGATGTTCACGCAGACACTATTTATAGTATGGAAATTATAAGCTGCAGTGTGCAGAGCTTTCCTGTGATCACTGGTTAGAATCCGATGAGGCCCTTGTTCAGTCAATAAAACAGGGATATAGGCTGTACTCTGCTGGCAGGGTTGAGTCCTGTGTGCCCCCTGAATGAGCCAGATGGTTTCTAGAGACACGGGCAGCAGGATTTCAGCCCTGAGGCTCATTGCCCCAACCCTATGCTTACTGGAACCATACAAAGCCGGGGGGAGTTACACAGGCTAAGGAGATCTGTGAACACAGACTGCAATCAGGGAGTATTCACAACTATGCCTACCCATCCTTTTAGATATTTAAACAATGTGTGGGCACTGGAGAGATGGCTCGGTGGTTAAGAGCACTGGCTGCTCTTCCAGAGGTCCCACATTCAAGTCCCAGCACTCACATGGCAGCTCACAACTGACTGTGACCTCAAGACTGACATCCTCACACAGATACACATGCAGTCAAAACCCCAATGCACATAAAGGTGTTGTTTTTAATGTGTGTAGAAGTCAGGGTTAAAGTAGACACCTGGAGAGATGGCAGAGTGACTTTCTGCAGATGTGCACACTTGTCCATGCCCATGTGTGTGCAGATGTGTGTGGGATACGGCGGGAATGGGGTGTGGACTCCAGAGGTCAGCCTCAGGTGGTGTTCTGCCAGCGCTGCCACCTTGTTTCACTGGACTGGAAGTCATCAAGTAGTCTGGGCTGCAGTCAGTCCTGAGAATCCACCGTCTCTGTCTTCCTAGCATTGGGATTGCAGGTATATGCTGCCATGCCTGGCTCCTTCCTCCCTTTCTTTCGTCCTTTCGGGTCCTAGTGTTCGCACAGCAAACATTTTATCAGCTGAGGCTCTCCACAGACTAGATGCCACCAGGTGTCGCTATTAAGCATTTCAACAGAGTTCCAGCCAGTGCAGTGGCTTTTTTTTTTTTTTTTTTTTTTTTTTTTGGCAAGCCGAGTCTACCTGGTTAAAAAAAAAAAAAAAGTGAATCCCAGGAGAGGTCACGGTATGGGGCTGCACCGCTCCAGAGAGCTTCGGTGACAAAAAGAAAACATATATGCAGAGAATGTGACCTCAGAAGGAAGCAATGCCAACACGGGGCCAGCCTCGCCTTCCTTGGCTTCATGGTGCCCTACCTCCAGGCCACAGCTGTTGTTTAAGCCAGCGAAGTGATGTTTGTATCTTCACATCCTCACCTCCTTGTTTCTTTGAGGTTCCATTGGCTGGGATGAAACAAAACTCCCCACCCCCATTGCTATATCATCCCCCAGAGCCCCCCTTGAATTTGGCTCCAGCCCTGAAGCCAGGGGCTTTCAACTTCTGCAGCCCTCAGCCTTCCCATCTAGGCTTAGACGGAGGGAACTCGAGAAAGGTGTGCTCCAGGAAGGGTGCACGTGCAACGGGGGATGAAATAGACATTTGCAATCTCAGGCAGTTGCTCTCGCTGCCCCCATTAAGGTTGCTTTGTACGTGTTCCTGTGGGCTGCTTCTGGGTTGCCGGTGATGAATGGCACATCTGGCTGTGCCAATTGGTAGTAACAGGGCTATTAGTGTGTGGTTCTAATCAGGGACTACTGAGCCACGAAAAGCCAATATTTACCAAGCTCCATATGTAGTTGTTGTTGGTTTGCAGTCAAAGGACCCAGCCTCAACACTGGATCCATCTAGTTGTGAGGTCTTGAGCAAGCCCCGCAGCCCCTGCGTGCCCTAGTCCTTCCTATTTAAAGAGAGGAAGTACGCTTGTTCCCCAGCTAGTAGTTTGATCCGAGCTCCACACTCATTGCTTCTCCTTGCTGTTGGGAAGCTTCCTTCTGACTCTATTATGAGGAGCCGGGCAGGATGGAGTTTAGGATTCCCATGTTCTGGGCAGTGGCTTCTGGCTTCTCAAGTGTCTACACACTTCAAAGCCAAGGTGGGCAGAGCAACTGGGATCCCCGTCTCACAAACCAGAAATGTGTCTCACTGCTCTGTGACGTCAGCCACCTGTAATCCCAGCTCATGGGGGGCAGATAAGGGTAGCTGGAGTAAGCCTGCCAGCTAGACTAATCAAATTGGTACATCCGGGCTCAAGAGGGAAACTCTGCCTCAGTACATACGCTATGGGGGAAGATACCTGATTTCAACACCCCCCCACACACACACACATGCACGGTGTTCACATACAAACACATGCACATATATGCATACACTTGCATATGTATGCACCACATACAAATACATACACAAAAACAAAAGTTCTCAACCTACAAGAAGCAGTGATCTCTACTGCTGAGGGTGGGAAAATCTTGTAACTTTTCCGGGATTAGTTTTAAATGGCATCCTGTAAGTTTGGAGTGAAGGCCATGGGTATCATAGCTGATAGCTGACACTGCACCCTGGAGGCCCATCAGGGAGTGCCCGCTCATCAGAGCACTGTATTCGGCCCCTCAGATTTGTATGGGTCATTTCTCTGGATGCCGGCTCCTTGCCTCTCTCTGCCTTACTGACCAGTCACTAACGGTTTCTCTTCTCCCACACTCTCCCGCCCCTATTTCACCTTCTCCCTTCCCTGCCTCTCTCTACCTTCTCTTTGCTGGCTCCCGCTGCTCTCCAGTGCGACCAAGATCAGTGCATTCAGAGCACCAAATTCGTTTTGCAGGCCGCAGCCACTCCTCTGCTTCAGAGCGAGCCGAGCCTCACCAGCGAAGAGCTGCACATGCCTGGGAAGCCAGGCTTGGGCACCCCGTGTGCTAGCCTGACTCTGGGTCAGCCCACGCCACCTTCCTCCATGCCCAACCTTGCCACCGAGGCCACGCTCTCAGACATTATGCCCCTGAAGGACGAGCACGGGGGCCACCAGTTTCTGACCCCGGATGAGGCACCGTCACCACCAAGGATGCTGGGGGCAGGCAGCCCCCTGACACATAGCCGCACCATGCACATGCTGGGCCTGGCCAGCCAGGACTCTCTGCACGAAGACTCCGTGCGGGGCTTAGTAAAACTCAGCTCCGTGTGACCTGCATGGCCAGCCGCGGGACCACAGGTGACAACAAACGGAAAGAAAACAATGGACCTAGCCAAGTGGACATTTTGTTTGGAATCTGCCAGGTGGGCCGGGGAAGAGAGGCTCCTCCTCTAGAGGAGGAGCCTGGAATGAACGAGGCTGCGTGGATGCAGCGCCCTCTGTCGGCTGCTCTTAGGACAGACACGAGGAAGGTTTTCGACACTGGCGGCCAGACTGAAATTGCACTTAATGTAACGCTACTAATTGAAATTGACAGGCCGTTCCATTTGTTCGTTAAAACAAAACAAAACTCCTAACGGGAAAGGCCGACCAGACCTGGGTTTGCATGCCACACTCGTGCTACAGTGGTGGTATTCCAGAAGACACGCTGCTTTCTCTGTTTTCCTTCCTTTCCTTCTTTTTAATCTTGTGAAACTTTACAGAGCGACAGACTGAGCACAAAGGGCGATGCCTTCCTGCGCGGACTTAGCTGCAGAGGGTTACTGGGGCCCGTCCTGCCAGGGACAGACATTTAACCTTCTGCCAGCGCTTAGATGGGGTGTTGAATTGTGCCACCGTTTGGCAGTCCTCGCCTCCCGTGTGAAGAACATCCTGTGGACAGCCAATAAAATGACTCCTCTGCTATTTTTTTTTGATCTGTATACAATTGTCCTTAACAGCTTATATACAAACAGTCATTTGTTTGTTTGTTTACATTATCTTTGGTAAGGAATAATTCAGCACAGCCAAAATTCAGATGTTAGGATTGTGGGATTACCGGGTGACTCCTGGGTGGGAGCTGAGCTTGCCAATAGTCCCCAACCCTTGACACCCTCCCCTTCAGGGTCTGTTTATAAAACAGGTTTATCAGGGTTTGCTCTACACTTAAAGCCACCCACACGGCTATTACATGTAGTAGGTGAATGGAAGGGTACTCAGGAGAAGGGTTGTTGTCTGGCTGTCTTCTCAGTCTGTGTGATGCTGGGGTGTTGCAGAACCTCATAGACACTTCACAGCCCTTGTGAAGCAACACTGGCGCCATACTGGACTTGAGGTTACGTAGTAGCTCGTGCTCTAAGCTGAACACACAGGAGGGTGACCCTAAGATGGCTGCTTCGCTCATCTGTCCTCCGGAGGGGAGCAACATCCTAGGGAGCCAGACTGATCTGAAAGTGGCTGCAAGGAGCTCACCACCACTCTCTCCAGCCTTCTTTTCCAGCACCACATCCCATGCCCAATTCACAGAGCCTTGCGGCCATCTCAGAGCAAGGTACATTTCTCACTAATGCAAAAAAGGAGAGAGAGTTTTACTCAGGATTAAACCAGTTCCATCCAGGTCTCGTGGTCACAGCTGAAAATGGCTGCTGATGTCTTCTTGGGGCATCTATGAGCGGCCTTTACTATCATACCCCATGGTGGTGAGAAATGGGAGGTGAATTGTATGTAGCCGGTTTTCATTGTGTAGTTTTCCAGAGCCCCCAATTGTCTGGAATTTAGACAGAGCTTTTCTGCGACAACCCCGCACACAGCCAAAGGTTTCCATCTGCAAACAAAGAGACTCCCCACAAGAGCCCCCCTACACCTTCTCAACCACCACTGCCTCTTCCCTGCCCCCGGAGAGGGTTAGGGTAATGAGAAAGGAGATCCTGGCTCAGACTCTTCCTGACCCTGGGATCAAATGTGGCCTGGTTTTTTCCCAGATTCTAGGGGTGGGGAGAGGCTTGTCTGTGGAGCCCTGCCGTTCCTGGCACCACTAATATAATTGTTGCCAATTTCCTGTAACCAACCCCTCTTCCAACAGCTCCATTTTAAAAATTCCAACACGCAATGATAGCGTGGCAGATAAGTCACCTAATACAGTGGGCTCTCTGTCTCCTCCTCTTCATCTATGGATTCAGTCAACCACGAATTAAAACTACTAGGGGGCGGGTGTCCATCCTGACTTGTGCAGATATCTCTCCTTGTTATAGCCCCTAAATACGATTCCATAGCACCACACTGTGAGATTCTCAATTCAACTGCACCAGAGATGATTCAGTTTCTACAGAAAGGTGTGTGCATGCTCTGTATGCAAACAGTGTGCAATTTTACATAAGAGACCTGAGCATCCATAGACTGGGGGTTGCCATGGGACCCAATCCCATAAGAAAACTGAAAAGTGAATATTCTTATCAGTTACCCTGTTCTAACCCCATCCTCTATACATATGTGGCGCCATTTATCAAATAGAGGTTTGGGGAACTTGGAGAGGATGGATCAAGACCAGGCTCAAAGGAGAGGTTAGCACGAATGAGACAGTGTGCTAACACAAATGAGGTTGTAAAACCGATAAAACGTCCACAGCCTTTTCCTCTGTTGCTTGGGAGTATGGAAAATTCATGACTCTGGCTCAGGGGGACCCACTTCAGTAACGGGGGGAGTGGTCTGCATTTCCCATTTAACTGAGTCCATCTAGTGTGGCTGAGTAGACCTTGGCATTTCTAAAGAGGTAGCAATCGATTGAATGCTAGCTAGAAAAAAAAAATAAGATGAATATTTCACTATGCTGTCAGGCTTGGGCCATTAACACACGTGGGGGATGAGGGTGGGGGTAAAATTGTGTTTGTTTTCCATTCTCCCAGGGATGCTCCAGAGACCACGGGCCTCTCAAGCACTTGAAGGTTGGATTTAGCCAGACCACCCTGGTCTAGACCTGCTTCTGAGTGGACAGGATGACAGGCCGCTCTGTGCCGGGAGCAATCAGCATAGTGTCATGCTGCGCCCATGTGAAAAACGTTTGTTCCGGCTTTGGTTATGATTCTTCAGCTCTATGCTACACCCCACCCCATGCCATCAAAGGGCCAGATACCTGTTCCCACCCCGCAAGCCTCCCAGGACGACCCTCACCTCCAAGTCTGTTGAGTCTTTCCCTGTGTCACCCGTGGTCTTTGATGGGTTCAGACAAGGTCTAAGGACATTCAAGGGTGCAGCATGCAACTGCAAAAGAAGATGCAAACCCCGTTCCGCAAGCCATGTTCCACCACACCATCTGCGTGGGTGAGCCTTAGTGTGCGTCTCTCCGTGGGCCTGGACCCTCTCTAGACCAACAGCAAGAAATGAATGTATCCAAGTTGCAGTAGGTGTCCTGGGTGCAGGACTGGGTGGCATGTCCAGGAATCGCTGGGATGGAGCCTTTCAGAGGCTTCGGGGGCCTCTCCAACCCAGACTTACGCATGCTCCAGTTCAGAGCCAAACCTCCTCACCATCCTCTTGGGCCTGGAACACCTGCTCCCCAGCGCTGGCTTCAGGTTGGAGCTCCCTCGCAGGTGTCAGGGGTCTACCTGGATATGATGCCGGACCTTTCCCAAGTGCGCTCCTCTACATCCGTCCACACCAGAACACTCTTCAGCGCATTGAGTTCTTCAAGTAAGAAGAGCACAAAGAGAAATAATGTTGGATATATTTTCTAGCTAATACCTCAAAATCATCCTGAAACTAAGCCTAAATTAAATCGATGTTTATGTTTCTGCATTAAGTGCTTTGGTTGTGAAAACCTACCACGTTCTTATCCAAAAGGAAGAGAACTATGAATAAATTCTAATTCCCCGTGGTCTCCTTCACCTGTCCTGGAGGTCTGTCTATACGACATCATCTGCTGTTTTCCATGTTAGCTCGTATAAGGCTCTTGATCATTTCCTCAAATCTAGCTCCCCCTCCCCCATTTCCCCTGCTCTTCCTCTCCTTTTCCTATCTGCTCCCAAACCCTTGTTCTCTACACAAGCCCTTCCCTTTCTCAAATGCCTCCCCCTCTCCACTCCCCTTCTGTTCCCTCTTCCCTGTCTCTCCTATTTCTCCCTCCTCTTAAGTTTTCACTGAAATAGTAAGTAATGTGTTGTTTTCTCTCAAACAGCCAGCATATACCATAGCTGGCAAATCCTCTATCACCATGGGATGTGGCTCTGATGATGCAGCCCCATGAATTTCCAAAAATAACTGCTTGGCGCATTAATCCAGCCATTAAAAATAACTGAGCGATGGAAGACTGGGATTGGAAGACGCCTGCATCTCCCGGGTTACTGCCAAGCTTTTTCACCATCAGTTGATGAAGTCTTAAACTCATTCATATGACAGAGGAATGAATTAACAGCTCATAGTTTGTCTGGATATTTTAAGCCTTGGAGAGAATAAAGAATTCCTCATGACAGAGGACATGTCAGGTAGACATGCCTTGAAATTCTAGATAAATGGGTGAATTCTAGATATATAAGCTATCTCACTTAGGCTCCAGAAGAAAGAATAGAAGGCTTAAGTCTTGCTCACCATTTTTCAGAACACCATGAACATATATTTTATGATAGTCAAATTTTTGCCATAGGGAAAAAAAACAGTAAAGAACTTAAAACTCTTAGTAGACTCAAAGTCCTGACCCTGCCCATAGCCTGAGGTCACCTTGCTGTCCATAGCCTGTGGTGGCCTTGCTGTCCATAGCCTTTCATATTTTCAGAGAGTTGTGTGCTTGTTAAGAGCCTGCCATGAGCTAATCGGTATAGTGAGAACTGATCTTATACCTGAAATGAATTTTAAAAACTGTCAATTGGGGACTGAAGAGATGGCTCAGCAGTTAAGAGCACTGGCTGCTTTTCCTCACCCAGGTTCAATTCCCAGCACCCACATGGAAGTTCACAACTGTCTGTAACTCCAGTTCCAGGGAATCTGACACCTTCACACCAATGAACATAAATTAAAGTTAAATTATATTTAAAAACCTGCCAATTACATAAAATATAAACTTTAATCGTTATCAGAGAAATTGTCTAGACCAAAAAGGAGTAGGAAGAAAAGGATCAACAAACATGCTCTGCGTGTGTGTGTGTGTGTGTGTATGCGTGCGTGTGTGTGTGCGTGTGTGTGCGTGTGTGTGTGTGCGTGCGCGTGTGTGTGCGTGCGTGTGTGTGTGCGTGTGCATGTGTGTGTGTGTGTGCGTGTGTAGCCATCTAATAAGAAAGTGGCTTGCCTGCAGCCTTGAGTCTCAGCTTTTTCATGTAGAAACTACTAGAGAGCAATGCAGAAATCCAGCCCCACCCCCAACCACTCACAGATGTTCACTCCTCTGTATCTGCGCAAATATGTGTGTGTGTGCGCATACATGCATACATACATATATATGCCCAAATAGTAGTGACTTAGAAAATGAGCTTTCCTCTCGGTCCTGCAAAATAAGTACAGAGATGGCAATGAAGAATCAGTGTGATGTCATCAGTCCAGGTACAGACCTCCACCTGATCCCCTTTCTCAAAAGCTTTCATGGTCATAAGATAGGCTCTTTGGTTCCAGCATCAAAGCCACATTCCAGGAAGAAAAGCTAAGGGAAGGAGCCGGCTGCCAGAGAGAGCACTCCCAGAGGCCCCTACTTTCTCCAAGATTGATGCGAACTCACGTGACCACTCCTGGCTGAACAAGAAACCGGGGCATAGGTTTTCACTGAGCACATTGCTACCCCAAGTCTTGGGATATATATACATCGGTGGGTTCTCATAAGCCACCAGGAGGCACCAAGAGTGATCTACCAGTCACTGGGATGTTAAAATACTCCACAGCAGGGAACCAGAAAGTAGGTAGGTAGTCCATCAGGCTGGGACAAGGCCATGAAGTCATTGCAAGTCCAGAATGCTCTCAAGGGAGATTCAGGCATTGATCAAAAAGGAGGGGGATTGAGAGTTACGGGTCTTGCACAAACTTGCCACCTCCTTGACACAGAGACAGTGGCGGTAAACAGGGAGCACCCCCTCGGCTGTGTGGAACTTTAAGGATTTGTGGGTTTTCACTCTAAGAAATAAAGGAAGGGGGTCTCACTGAGTAATCTGCTTGTGTAAACAATAACCGATTATAACCAAGTCAACTCCTACAAGCCTGTTTGTGATTCTTGGCTCATCCCAGCCCCTGCAGAAGACACACGAAAATCTTGCCCAACGTCCCTCCAAAACCATCTCCAGTTTTCCCACCTGAGTATCCTTACTTGGTCAGGACATCTGCTTAAAGGTCCATACTCTAATCTTCCTGCCGGATAGCATACACAACACTGGAAGGGTTAGAATAGGAAGCATTTGCTGTCTATGTGAAAATGAACTGGGTTGTAATATTTTTTGTTTTGTTTTGTTTTGTTTTTCAAGACAGTGTTTCTTCGTAGCTTTGGAGCCTGTCCTGGAACTAGCTCTTGTAGACCAGGCTGGTCTCGAACTCACAGAGATCCGCCTGCCTCTGCCTCCTGAGTGCTGGGATTAAAGGCTTGCGCCACCGGCTGGCTTGTAATATATTTTCTAACTAATCTCTAAAACAAACTTTAAAAAAATGCTGATCTAATATGCCCACCCTACCTCCTATTACAAAAAGGACCCCTGGGAACCTGTGGATCCACCTATAAAGAAAGAAGACTTTTTTGGCTCACGGTTTCCCAAGCTTGGACTGTGGTCACCTGGCTCCATTGCTTTCAGACCTTTGGTAAAACAGAGCACAACAGCACAGAGCCTCCAGTGGGGCAGAGATGCCTACCTCAAGGTGAGCAAGCAGCACGAAGAAAGAGGAGGCACCAGGGTCCCTTATTCTTACAGGGTACAGCCCCATAACGTAGTTTCCCTCCACGGCACCACACCTCTCCGAAGTTCTACCACCTCCCAATTCCACCAGGCCGATGAACAAGTCCCTAGCATGTGTCCTTTAGGGATCATTTCAATTCCAAACCACAACAAAGAGAAGGGCTTCAGAACCAGAAGAGATAACGGGCAAAGAACCAAGATCTGCAACTGCCCAACCTTCCTCAAGAAAAGCAGTTTCTACCTTTAAGGAATATCCCCTCCATGGCACATGGATCTATTTTTTTTTAATTTTTATTTTATGTGTATGGGTGTTTGCCTGCATGTATGTCTCTGTATCGTGTGTGTGTGTGTATGTGTGTGTGTGTGTGTGTGTGTGTGTGTGTGTGTGTATGTGTGTGACTCTCTGAGGCCAGAAGAGGACATTGGATCCCCTGAAACCGAAGGTACAGATGAGCGTGAGTTGTCACGTGAGTGCTTGGAGCCAAACCCGGATCCTTTGCAAGATTATCAAGTACTCTTAACCACAACTAAAAGAAAACTTTACTAGAAAACAAAAATGGGCATATAAAAGTCATAATTCTCCATAATGAGATCATTCACATGTGGTATTCCCATCTAACTGCTACCGGAAGTTTCCAAATGTGTATCCGTATCTCTATTTCCCTCATCCTAGCATTGACACAGTTCATGGCTGGTACAGTCCACTTGAGACACTTTAGTTCCTCTGTCCACTCAAAGATCACCCTGGTCTGGCCTCTGCTCTTGGCTCTGGGAGGAAATCTGTAAGCCTGGAAAGTTCTGTCTGATAAGACTATCTTACCTGAGGGCATTGAGTCATTTGGTATCCGCTCCTCTCAGGAGGGCACAGAGGTCAACCAAGAGATGCTCACCACGTCTACGGAACAGACCACCAATCAAAACCCCAGACTAGAGAATAGGTGAGCTCCCCACTTCGCGGTAATCACCAGTGTCCCTGGTATAGATGAGTACAGCCTCGCAGGGAGAAATCAGAAAGATCGGGGGCTGTTCTCTCCAGAACCTGTCCCACCTACCCCTACCTCTGTTGGCTTAATTGGATCCTTCCACTTCCATGAATCTGTGCGTTGAGGAGCTTTCCTGAGCTCTGCAAGTCTTCTAGAAAGAGCTCAAACCTAAGGATGGTCCTGGGAGCCCTGATCTCAGCTGGTAAATTACCGTGAGAACACATCACGAGACGCATAACAGAACCCACTTTAAGAGTTTATTGACAGAGAGAAGACAGGTGCACAGACCCGAGAAAGTTGGTGCAGGGAGAGAGTGTGGAGCTGGCAGGTCCAGCTTTTAAAGGCTGCCCGGGGTATGTGCACAGGGGCTTACCCATAGCTGTGCCAGTCGTAGATCACATGACCATGCTGCACGCAGTTCACATAGGGCTTGCGGGCCCTGGGTGGCTATGTAAGTTGCCTGAACGCTTGATAGCACAATGGACGACCTGGAACCCGCAAGTGCCAGCGCTCGGAGTGGCTAGACATTTTGCCGAAGTGCTCGGTGATGGAAATGGTAACATTTTGTCCAAGCAAATAGTGGCTACTGGGCTGTGCTCTGAGAGACCTTAGAATTGCTCCCCCAAACCTTCGCTTTCCCTCTAAGAGGGCCTCTAAGCCAGTGTTCTCAACCTGTGGGTCGCGACCCCTTCAAGGATCAAACATTCCTTTCACAGGGGTGGCATGTCACATCTCCTGTATATGAGATACTTACATTATGATTCATAACAGTATCAAAATTACAGTAGCAACAAGAGTAATTTTATGGTTGGGGTCAGCACAACATGAGAAACTGTGTTAAAGGGTGACAGCATCAGGGAGGCTGAGAACCAGGGCTCTGAGCTGTGGTGCAGACACACTGGGCCTTTCTGTACCACGCTTCTATTACCTGGGGGTGATGGGAGCTATAGACATTCTGATTCTCGTGCTTTTTAAAAACTGGTGTTTAGAGTGGGGCCAGGAATATCAGGGGTTAAAGTGCTTGCTGGGCAAG